TAATAAAATTCAGTTTAATCATGGTGTAGATTATGCCTTTAAATCAGTAATATATTTCATAAACTTCACACAACTGTCTAGAATGGATTCAAAATAAATACTGATTTGAGTAAACATYTTAGATTTCATTCAGAATTTCCCAGCAGCACCTTCATCTTCATCATCATCATCMCTCACCTGAGCCACAGAGCTCTGTCCCTACCTGCTGACCCTGACTCTCATCAGCTCCTGCATCACATGAAGATCGATTAAACATTAGGTTTTTATTACCAGCTGAAGTCAGTCTGCTTTAAAAAGTCAGAAAATATCATGAAATGTGATGAATAAAAGATCTGGTCTGGTTTCATCAGTGATTGTGAGTCAACAGTCTCATCATCTGATTATTAAAGTTTTCAGACATGAACCAAGCTCTGTTTTATGTTTAAAATATTCTGCTAAAAAAAAAAAAATCTACTCTCACAATAAGTTAGAATGCAATCGTTTTATATTTTAATAAAAACACCTAATAATCTTCTGATGAGATCACTTTATTCTTGCTGATAATAATATCACCAGCTGATCACTCTGTACTTTAACAGATGCTTTAAATTACATTAAATGGTGGTGATATGTAAGCTAGCTGTAGCCAGCAGCTAACCCTGTCCTGTGGAGAGTTTAACTTACTTTATGTTTCTCTGTAAAACATCTCCTAATGTTGTGTGTCTGTGGAGGGATACAATCACACACGCTGCCTTCTACAAGCAGCTAGAAGTTAGTTTTAGGTTGAATATTTGCGCTCCTGGAATTCACCGTCATCTTCCTCCCCTCTAACCCGGTGGAGGTAGTCTGACGCCGGTGATCTCCGACTCCGGCTGCTCGTTCCCACTGGTACCTGCTGCAGGCTGCGGTGCTGACTGGAGGTAACCAGGAAAACCCAGCGCAGACTTTTAGTGTGATCAGTTTTCTCCTATCAATCAAGCAGAATGGATTCTTTCATCGTCGCCTAACAAAAACAGAGCTGGGTGAACTGATGAGAAGAATGTGGAGGGGTCCAAATAGATACTTTTGAAAAATGAGGGGGACACGTCCCCTTCACTTACTATTGTAGCGACACCTATGGTCAGATGTCAGAGGAAAAGTCTCACGTGACCTCTAGAGAGACGTGAGTTCAGAGTATTTGAGACGAGGAAGAAACAATGTTGATCTTTGTGGACTTAATGTCCAGCAGACTTTCTGGTGAGACATGGCAGTTCTTGATGTCTTCTGTATTTTGGAATCCCCTCTGTGTTTTCACTTTCTCACTTTGTTGGCTGCACGTCTCATTCAACAGGTTGCAGCTCATTTGTTCTCGGGTGAACACAACACACGCTATGATTTCAACTAAAAGATCAAACATGTTGAATATCCCAGATTTGAGTTTGGAGCGGTACCGATGTCTCTCCGAGCCAACTAGATCACTCTTAACTCACCACCCACAGCAGGAATATCTGCCCAGATTATCTTTAGAGCATCACGATAATCTGGACGTCCTTAAAATTGTCAGGCAAAATTGGGCTGATTTTGTCATAATTGTCGTGCCATGTGACTAGGGTTGGGTGCCGAAACTTGGTTCCAGTATGGCACCAGGGCGAAGATCAACAGTAGTACTCAGACCGAAACACAACTCTAATTTCGGTGCTTTATTTCGGTGTCTCAAAGAAAGCTGTTAATTGCGCCCTCTGGTGTTCACTGTTAACAGTGACAGCTTCAGCACACAATCTACACAGAGTGCTAACAACAATAAGGGTGAGTTATGAACTTTTAATGTGTTTTAACTGTCTAATTTAGCTGTTTCTGTCCTCTGTGTCAGACTATGACTGGTAGAGAGAACAGATGTGTGTTAAGTTTCACTTCCAACGGGAGCGCAGTGAGCGCCATGTTTTTACTTTCGCTTTGAAACCGCACTGTAATTAGCGTGTCCGAGTTGTTTTTCTTTTTAAAAATGCTGGAACTGCTCACAGGAGGCATAGAAGAACACCTGTATTACTCTCCCTGCTGGATTAAAATAAAAAGCTCTTGGTCATTTCT